CCCCCCTAAACCATCCCCCATCTGAGCCCCCCACGTGCTCCCCACTAAACCATCCCCCATCTGAACCCCCATTATAACCCACATGCCCCCACTAAACCATCCCCACCCGAGCCCCCGAGTATAACCCACATGCCCCCCTAAACCATCCCCATCTGAGCCCCCCATTATAACCCAGGTGCCCCCCTAAACCATTCCCATTTGAGCCCCCCATTAGAACCCATGTGCCCCCCTAAACCATCCCCACCCAAGCCCCCCATTATAACCCAGGTGCCCCCACTAAACCATCCCCATCTGAGCCCCCCCTTATAACCCACATGCCCCCACTAAACCATCCCCATCTGAGCCCCCCATTAGAACCCCTTCCTTTTTCCATTGCCCCCTCCCTATACTCCTCTCCCCAGTAGAGATCACGTGTAGCACAGCTTTACAGTCCTAGCACCCCAATACTGGATCCAGGCACACCCCATAGAGTCGAGTCCCCCATTACTGCTGGCTGCACCCTAAGATTAACCGGTGTCCGTGGCCCATAAGACCCGGTTCTTACCCACGAAAGCTTATGCTCCCAATACTTCTGTTGGTCTCAAAGGTGCCACAGGACCCTCTGCTGCTGCCGCCCCCGTGTCCTAACCCCACCTTTGCAACCCATCTCCTCCCCCTCCCAGGGGTTTGGCAACACCCTCCCCCCGGTTATACAACCCCGGCATGCAGCCCGCCCTCTCCCATTCATAAAGCCCAAGCCCCGCCCCCGCCCTGCTAGCCCCGCCCCCGAGTGCCCATCCGCCCTTCCGCCCAGCCGGATCAGCTGCTGTTGTGATGAGCTCAGCGGGGGGCCGGGCATGGCGGAGGATCTGGAGGAACAGTGAGTTTGCATTCCCCCCCCCCTCTTATGGGGGGGTGGGGTAGCTGGGTCCCTTGGGGGGGCCTGTTCCCATGGCCCCTAAGCGCCACTAGGACTTTGCAGCTGGGTGTTTGTGGGGGTGTGCCCCATTCCATGCGTGGGGGGGTCCCTGTGGCATGCACAGAGGTGGGGGAGCTGGAAGTGGGGGGTGGGGGCGTTAGAAGCCGCATGGCTGGGGAGGAGGGGTTGTTGGGGGGAGAGGTGTCTGGCAAAGGCAGGAGACGAAGTGATGGGGGGCAGGAAGAGGGGGGCTATTGCGGGACTGGGCAGAGGAGGGAAAGGGTGGAGGGCTCTTGGGGGCAGAGGGGGGGGGTTATTGGGGTGTGGGGAGAGTAGGTGAGGGATTTGGGGGAAAGAATGGAGGGGGTTACTGGGGTGCAGGGGATTGTTTGGGGAGCGGGGAGAGAGGAGAGGGATCCTTGAGGGAAGAGGTTGCTTGGGGGCAGGACGAAGGGAATTATTTGGGGAGACAGGGAGGTGGGAGGGAAGAGGAGTTATTGGGGTAGGGGCTCTTGGGGGGGCTGAGCATGAAGGGTGAGGGGTTATATGGAGTGAAGCGGAGGGGGCTGTTGGGGGGTGGGTCCAGAGGGGGGCAGCGGGAGGTGGTTATCTGGGGCAGGAAGGGGGGGCTGGGGGGGGAGGGGGTCCACACATAGTGTCAGGTTGTTGGAGGGGTGGGCAAACAGCTGGATCCTGGCATCCCTGTGTCCCCTGGGTGTGTGTGGGAGGCTGTCCCCTGGGTGTGTGGGGGGGGCTGTCCCTGGGTGTGTGGTCCCCCCCCCGTTCGCCGGGACGAGGCAGCCAGCACTTGCTCTCCTGGGGAGTGATTCAGCAATATCCCTGCCCCAGAGCTCCTTGCCACGGGGCGGTGACCCCTGAAAAGCCCCTGGGTAGTGTGGGGGGGCAGTGGGACCCTGTGAGAGGAGCTCTGGGACCCTGTGGGGAGCAGCTGGGACCCCAGTGACAGAGAGGCAAAGTGGGTGGTGAGGGCCTCTGACCCCAAGGACGGTGAGGGACCCCCCCCCCAGCCTGGGGGAGGGGGAGATACTTGGGTCCCTCTATGTGGGGGGTCAGTTGATGCCCTCATTTGGAGCCAGACCCTAATGGATCACTAACTCGTCGT